CAAGTCAAGGTCCCTTTTCTCTATAAAAAATATCAGCAAAACATTGGAAGAAAAATGGAATTTAGATGGGAGCTACAATCAGTTTCAAATGTCTTGGAGCAGATGCCACAAAAATCCCCCCACTCCCTATTCAATGTTGTGTGGCATTTTCCATGGGTTTTGGTATTTAAATTGAGAAAGAAACATTGGTATTTACAATGTAGACCTAGAGGTGGAAAAATTTTATCTGTTTTATTCAAATTTTTCCCCCTATCAAATTCATGTTTTGCCGACTACGAAAACAACTTGCCGACTGGGATTCACTGTTTTACCGACTACCTACCATCATTCACACCTCCCTTTAGCCCCGCCCCTGATGACTTTATGGGCGTGTTAGCTAAGGTTAAAGGTCCGGCAGCTGCAAATAATTCTCGAGTAGGAACAGTCCACAGAATAACATGCGCAGAATGCGCTGCCAGCTCTTCTTCTGAATTAAAGAACATAAACGCTGCATAACACTGAATAAGGACACAGAACTATAGCGGTATCAAATCATCACGAAGCACCAAATGGATTGGAAGGTAGCTAGCTGCTGGTACACAATAAGCAAAAAGAACAGTAATAATGTATTTAGTTTAATACACCCTTCCAGAAAGTATTTAGCCTTGGCTATAGAGCCTGGTTTTCGGGATTGAGGTATCAGTTTTAGAACCGTCTGGCTTGTTACACGTCACCCATTTACGAATTCATACAGTTACAGTACATGTATATACTAGATAATGTAAAACACTTTATAAAATTAATTGATCGGTAGTAAAATATATGGCTCTAAAGTCGATATCTTTATCCCGGAAACGAAGCCCAACAGCCAGCCAAGGCTAAATACCTTCCGGAAGGATGTACAGTGTATTACGAGTGCGTGCAGAATGTGAACGCACGCGAAAACAACCACGCGATCATGCAGCTGGGGATAGTCAAGTCTTTTAAAATGGTTTCCGTAGACGAAACCGAAACAACATTTTTAATTTGTAAATATTTAATCAAGAAGAACATGAGCAAACAAAATAAACGTGGGTTAAAGTTGACACAGTGTAGAATACACACTGTGATTGGTTGATTGGGTCATTAGTTTGTTACTTTACGGGTCCCTCTCTATTCAGAACAGTTCGCTGTGTTGGAACAAAATTCTTGAATATTTTTGTTAAATAGCTTTATTATGATACCAAGTAACTCACAACGGGCACTAAATCTTGTCGCTGGAGTGTCCAAATACGTAGAATGTTAACCTCTTTATTGCATTTTTGGTGATCAGGTGACTATCGTTAGTTTGTGCATGTTGTAGATTACTGAGAATTTCCTGTTGGTTGCTACGCAAATACCAACGCTTTATTCACTTATTAATTAGGCGCAGATTTGCGATGTATATATACACACACGTAAAAACGCACAAGTTGTTACAAGTCTGCAAACAAGTTGTTACAAATCTGTTCACAAGCTGTCAACAAGTTGTCTTCGCATTGCTTGTTCCCAATTGTTGTAACAACCTTGTTGATATTATCAGACTTGTCACAAGGTTGTTCTAATAAGTCTGATACAGTCACGATAAACAAGAATGTTACAAGGTTGACGACACAAGGTTGTAACAATACTGCTATATCATGAGTTCATGACTGTATCGGACTTGTTGGAACAATCAACAACCTTGTAACAAGCCTGATAATATCAACAAGGTTGTTACAAATTGTTAACAGCTTGTTCCAAACTTTGTTGACAACTTGTGACAAGCAGTGCAAAGACAACTTGTTGACGGCTTGTTGACAAGCTTGTTACAAGATGTGAGATTTTTGCGTGTGTAGTTCGTTGCATTCCAAAACAGTAATTCGTACATACAATATCAGGTAAATATCAAGATTTTGGGCATCTCACTCGATGGAACCAAATGTTGAAACGTTTTTCGAAGATGGAAATTTCGAGTGAAAATTAACACATTTTTCCGAGACGTCGAGTCCAGACGTCGAGTTCTAAGCGCAAGTAGTTCATGTAATGATATTGGGGTGATGCCAGGGTAAGGTGTCTAGGGTAAATATTAGGGGTGCACCGGATTTCAAATCCGGCCGGATTTAACGAATTTTCCGGTATCCGGCCGGATTTGGAGAAAATCCGGCCGGATTTAAATTTCTGTTTTCACCTTAAAAAATTCACCAAGAATGGGATAAACCATCAATTTGGCAGCTTTAAAGTTTGAAAAACACTTAATATTATTATAAAATATTAAGTTATTAAAAAAAGATATACTAACTAAAAATAGTAAAAAACATAAACCGCCATTTTGAATACTGAATTATCCCAATTTATCCCCATTATACCGGTTTATCTCAAATCCGGCCGGATTTTTTGTCTAAATCCGGTAAATCCGGTTCCGGCCGGATTTGAAAATTCCAAATCCAGTGCACCCCTAGTAAATATCGGGATTTTGGACATCACACTCGATAGAACTAAATGTTGGAGGTCTTTCGTAGATGGAAATCTCGAACGTAAATTTGACGCATTTTAGACCTAACCAAGTGCAGCAGCGAAAAATACAACCATACAGGTATTAGGTCCTCTGACAGGAACCTGTGATGTCGGTGCAGCGCAGATGTATCCAAATTTCCATCTATCAGCAATTAAACTCCTAGCTGTTTAAAAAATAACTTTTAATTTATTTTTAGTGTATTGCTATGCATATTGAAACGACCAAACTTGGTTTCTACATTTCTCTGTTTGAAAATAACAATCCATCAGATAAACCAACGGACGCGGAAGTTGCAATAACCAAATTATCGGGAGAGGTAAGCAAATATATCCAGTTTTGTTACAGAGCACTTTACTGTTGGCTGCCTATTGTAGATTGTAACATTTGCATGCAGTAGACAAGGAGAACAAGATTATTGATATGTACTGGTATATAAATTAAATTTCATGTTCTAATATATAACAGAAGCACAGATGCGGGAACGTCGCCTCT